CGTCTATAGCCACACAAATTTATATGTAACAATAACAACGAACTCCATGGCTTTAGTCCGCAAGCGACCTATACCAACCGAGCAACCGCCTCTTGTCGGCGAAGTTAGTGCCAACTTTAGCGGATAGAGGGTGTCGCGTGGTCAGCACAACGAATCCCCACGGCCGTTAACATATGAATCGTTAATATCTGGTATACTGAATGCGATATAGATATGCGATATAATAGTTCTTAATGAAATCTATGTGATTCCTTACGCAACACTGGAGAGAGTTTCCAGTGTAGTGTACATATGCCACTTTAAGTATGAAACGGAAGACATAACACAGTAAGACTTCTTTACAACTTGCAAATTAAACATACAATTCTTGAAAAGGAATGGCATGACTTCGACACATATACAAAAAAATTTCTATTTCAAATTTATACACAATTTAGTTCATGGTAGCCTTCTGAGGTAAAGTTGACCCTGTGTTTAACTAATTAAGCACTACAGCATAACGACGTATAGAAGAGTGGTCGCATAGACCAACCCGTGTTTTCTTGACCTGGGTACCAATTGGAGGCTAGTGGTCAGCTACACGTCCCGGCTGCTTTATCCTGGGCAAAAAGCCCTCTACACCCACTGGACGGGAGGCTGGGTGGGCCCCAGAGCCGGTCTGGACGCCGTGGAAAAAAAAAAATTTCTTGACCCTAAAGGGCCTCGAGCCGGTCACGGTAGTCGAGCTGTCTTCGCTCGATCGGAAACCGGGATCGTGGGCTCGAATCCCACTCAGGGCATGGATGTTTAGTTTGTGTGTGTGTGAGTTTTTCTGTGTTTGTCTACAGGTAGAGGCCTTGCGACGAGCTGATCACTCGCCCAAGGAGTCCTACCTTATGTGTAAGATCTAGAAAAACCGAAGTGAACGGAGAAGTTCATGGAGGTAGGCCTAGGCCCACTGGGGCTGTAGTGCCAAGGAAAAAAAAAAGGCCTCGAACTCTGTCCCCTCGGTCATCCAGCCCGTAGCCAATCACTATCCCGGCTCCTTGGTCTTTCTTTCAGATACGGTGAAATTGGACTTAGTAAAACGACGGGGCAAATCTAATGGTTTAAAACACTTATATGTACCAAACAATTTAAAATCCAGTATCTTAACATCCATCCAGAAGAAGTAAGACTTAGCTATCCTTCTATTTTATCTTTATCTGTTTATTTAAAGGCAGGTTTCTATCTCTTAAGAAACGACGTAACATCTGTCATAGCATGGTGCTCGGAAAAATAATCACATTTCTTTTTGAGAAATAAACGAAATCTGCGGGCTTAATTCCAAGTTACTGACGTTGAATTTCGCGTCAGGTTACACGATTCGTCCCTGCACTACACCTATCGTCCCTTTTTGGACGTACCCCACTCCACCTACCGTCCCTACCTGGACATCCCATACGTTACCCCAGTCTTCCGCAAAATATGCTGGAATACGCCTCGTTCTACAACGTCGGGAGTAGGGAGCCAGCAAGTAGGCTATGAAGGTAGAGTGGGGGGAACAGGTCCTCCCCTCAAATTGACTCATATCATCATAGCCCTTGAGAATTCTTTGGCATCTGCAGATATACTTACCACTGCACTATAACCACATGGCAGTAAAATACCTGCGCCCGTTGTTTTACGTTTAACAACACGCCGCTTTGTCCAGAGAGTTTGTCTGGGACACTCGTTAGGTTCTCAGGAAAGCGACTACTTCCTTAAACTACATTTATCCACTTATAATTGTAATGGAGACGAAGTATGATTTCTGGAAAGTCGTAACAGTTTTTGAAAGATTAATCAGATAACTTCGACGTACAGAAAATTAAAGGCGTTCATGGCATTAAAATCAATAGAATAGTTTTGTAATTCTGAGGCTTCCGAACAGACACTTCATGAACAAAGTCGTGAAAATTAAATATAGTATAGTGTTTTGGAGAACTTTCGTCAATCTAATAATAATTATTGTCCCTTGTGGAGACGGATTAGGATACCTCCACCGTAGCCCTGCGAGGCATAGAAGGCGATAAAAAGGACATCTGGTGCCTGGGGGGGATAACTGGGCCCTCCTCTCACTGTGGAACATAAACACACAAAAGTGGCCCTCCAGGTTGGAGGTTGGGCGCAAGACTAACGACCTTGACCTGTAAAAAAAACGTTAAGAAATTCAACGTGGAAACCGGATTGTATAAATCTGGAATACTGTTCTAGGGAATCTGCTCTGGAGCTGTTTGCCAATGATTTGGTGATGAAAAATATATATTACATTATATTTGTGTAGAGATGTACAATCACTCCTTTGCTACTTAATTAAGGTAAATTAGGTTTTTCCTGTACTTATTTTTGTATTGCTAGAGGGGTGGAACTAAGTCCCTTATACTGCGGCCACTTCTGGCCTATTTTACCAGCCCCAGATGATAGGTGAGGGTGATTGTGGAGCAATTGGTGGAATGAAGATTGGCAGGGGAAACCGAAGTACTCGGAGAAAACCTGCTCCAGCGCCACTTTGTCCACCACAAATCCCACTTGGCTAGATCCGGGATCGAACCCGGGCCGCCGCGGTGGGAAGCCAGTGACTAACCGCTTGAGCTATGGCGCGGCCGAGGCTATACTTAACTATTCAAGCACTATGACGTGAGGGCGTGGAGGAAATGAATATGTAGATCTCTATTGTCTTGAACTCGGCACTAGTTGGAGCACCCCGGTCGCTTAACCCCCGGAGAAAGAACCCCCTTGTATCCACTGGATAGGGAGCTGGATGAGCCCCAGAGCCAGTCTAAACGACATGGAGAATAGAAATTTCTTGACCATACTGGACTCGAACTCCGACCCCCCCGATGTCCAGCCCCTAGCCAGTTGCTATCCCAGTTCCCGACGTATGGGGGTAGTGGACGTATTACTCCACCATTCTTGATCTCGACACCATATGGACGTGAGTGGTCAGCCTCGCGCCTCCGGTCGTTTTACACCCAGAGAAGGAGCCCCCGATACCCACTGGATGGGAGGCTGGCTGGCTCCAGAGATGGTTTACACGCTGTCAAGTAGAGAAGAACCTGTTTCCCCTGCCGTGAATCGAAACGCGGCCTTCCAGCCCGTCGCTATACCGATTCAGACACCATATTCTGCATTATATTTATGTAATTATATTAAAATCAATAATTACAATTAAAAATATATATTAGCCATTTAAGACACAATAAGATAAAGGTCCCTTATGTCATGATTGTACAGAAGTACACTTGCAACTTTATTTCATGCTCGTCCATAACTTCATCTAAGCATCACGTTCAAAGGAAGTCTAGGAAGTAATACTATCTTGTTGGGCGAATTATCCGGATCGAGCATTGATCCGCGTGCCTTTTGTTTCAGCTGGACACTCGCGAATTATTACTGTAATGTCGGACTCCAGATGGCATCACGCACCTGAATCCATACTCCCCTATATAAATCGTATTGACAAAACAAATCCGGATGATTGTGTGGACGTGAAAGTTGGTCCTATTATTCCACTGAAACTTTGTTCGTAACAGTCCAGCGACCTCCATGTGTCCGTAGCTATGTTTAATGTATGCAGTCTGATTTCTTTTTATTTCACTAGCAGGGGGCGGACTCCAGCGGGGTCCACTCGGCACAGCCGCCACTGACTGGCCTATTGTACCTGCCCCGGGTGATTATGATGATGGAGAATTTGGTGGAATGAAGTTTGGCAGGGAAACCGAAGTACTCGGAAAAAAAACCCTCTCCAGTGCCACTTTTTCCACCACAAATCCCACTTGACCAGACCCGGGATCGAACCCGGGCCACCGCGGTGGCAAGGCAGCGACTAACCGCTTGAGCCATGGCGCGGCCAATGTATACAGTTACTTCAATAAATTCTTCGGTTCCTTCCTCCAAATCTATTTTATTTCACATCCAATTTTTCTTTAATATTAATATATACACAACGTAAGTAATTATTTAATCATGTAAGTGTTCTTAGTTTTCTGTCAGTAATTTTCAATTTCTTTACTCGCACAACAACTAACATTATGAATGACATAATTCTCCTTCCATTTTAACACTCCTACTTCTTCATACAAATACAGAACACAATTTTTAATAGTATGCATCCTGTTGTGTGTAATAACCAAGGTACACGATATGTATACAAAAGTTTAAGAATTAGTTGTAATTTGCTAGATCCAATTCAACAACTAAGCCTGGTATCATTATACACCTGATGATGACCTAGTATAAGCGTCGAAACATGTGTCACTAAAATGAAACGTTGAGACGATAGTGTATACTTTTTTATAAATGCAGAATAGTGTTGTGTAGGCTGCATACTTTTGTATGCATTTCGTGCACTTTGTTTATAGCAGACAATTCTTTCGCATTCCGGGTTTTATAAAGAAAGATAATTAAGTTGGTTAAGAAATTACACACCTCGTTACAAGATGGGACGCTACAGATGTGACACTAACGAGTTAGTGCAACATATTATCGAACTGACGATTTTAATTTTGTGTGAACTCCATGCAATAACTTCTGTTTATTAACTTTATATAGTATACCCCTGTTACCAGGACATACAATAAAATACGTCCATTTAGCTTCTGCAATAAAAATACAAATCATTTTTCACACCACAAAAACATATGAGACTCCAGTTTGCGCGTTTGTAACCATACTCGCCGTCCGTTTTAACGTTAAAACATGATTAATGTCGCGCATAGAGCGTATTTACTTCCTATAACTCTCAAAATAAACAACGATTATTTCCCTAAATACCATTAACGGGGCGGTCTTTTAAATACAGACATATTGTGTTTCCTACGAAACCGGAAGTGCATGTTTAAAAGCGTCTTCTGCTTCAAAACATACGTTCTCGCTTTAGCGGGCAGTTCATTTATTTTCCGCCCACAACTTTACAATTTACGAACCATCAGTCAATTTTTATAAAAGGAGAGATCCATGTTATTTTTATTGTTAGGAACTGAAATATAACGTATACTCACGGACAAAGATGTTTGACAGCAACGTAGCTGGCAGACAGAACACGATGACCAGGATGTCCGCGACAGCAAGGTTGACGATGAAGAAGTTGGTGACAGTCCTCATGCGTGGAGACCGATATACGACAGCGATCACGAAACAGTTGCCCACTAAACCAACTGCGAACACGAGGATATAAGCGAAACAATACACGGCAGTCATTGCAAGCGAATGTCTGTAGAATGGGACCGGCTCCGTGATGTTTCCTGCAGTAACGTTAAGGCCGCCGCTCTCCAAGCCACTTCCGGGTTCATCCTGAACTGAATTCTCCAACCCACTCTCATGATAAGCATTCATCGAACCATTGTTGCTGCTACTGGTCATTGTGACAAGGTCTAGCCATGTGTTGCCTAGAAAGTCCACCAGTTTCGCCCCGCCTTCACTAATTATGCGACGATTGCTTATATTCCAAGGCAACTGCCGAAACGCCTGCGATCTGGTGGACAAGTGTAAATTGTTACCGGACGAATCTGTGCTACTTGAGGTGTACAAACTGTCAGCACGTCGCCGGTTCTCGAACTCGTAATCCTCAGCATCAGGGAGCCGAAGAGAGGCCATTTCCAGTAATGGGGATGACGCGTGATATATAGGGGGGACGTTCAAATCTGCCATCAGAGGGAAACGTGTATTACGTATTGTTATTGGTGACATTCAAACAATTAATTTCCTATATGTCATATTTTTCAAATGAGGTCACAAGCTTGACGATGTTTGGTACTGTTTATCATTTTGTCTAAAATTATTTGATACAACGTCTATCATACGCTAGATTTTTCACATAAAACTTGGCAGTGGGTTACACTTAAGGTTCGCCAATAATTTTACCAATGTTAGAGGAACTCTGTTGTAACTAAATGCTAAATTGCTAATTCATATCCAATTACATATATATTTGTAATACGAAAGTTCAATAATATTATTTAATATATGACTACACCAAAATATCGTTACTTATCGCACAGAAACCCCTGGAACTCTAACTTCAAATCCAACCTCGGCACTTTATAGTTCCATTCGACTGAGTCTATGCACACAGAACTCTACTAACTACCTTCACATCACATAGAAACATCGAAATAACAGGCAAAACCGAAGCTACTACGTTTGTTCTAACAGAAATCTGGGGTACATTGAACTAGTATTGGGGCAGTCACTGCACTTGTTGGAACACACGCTGCACGCGGGAGAAAGGTCCGTGGTGCTCTGGCGTTAGTGTGTGGAGTACGCGCCTGTCGCGGTTGTACGCTACGACGCACGCGTATTGAGCCTGACTGGTGATAGGTAATAGTAGCGAGCGATAAAAACAGAGAGATACGACCGAAGGAAGGAGACAGAAGGTTGAGGTGGAAACAGATAATGGGATATTCTTATTTCAGCGGCTGTCTCATGTTGAAGCTTGACTGAAAGACAAATTATTAGGCGTTCTTTACAAGGTAAAAGAAAAAGGAAAGTTCATCTTGAGGTCCATCTGTTTGTCCGCCTTTCTGTGACGAAGTTTCAAAGTTAGGTAATTCTCTTTTGTGTAGGAGAGGGGGAGGGGGTTTGTTCGACATCGGCCTCTGTCACTGCAAGTTGTCGGTCATTTCCGATTTTCAACCGTATTGATCAGTAATAAAGCCTGCATTTTAGGTCCTAAATCAACTACAGTATATACAGTACAGTATTTCGTAACAGCCGACCGACGGTTTAGTTAAATCCAAGCATAATGTTAGACGGCCATTTTGTTTTTAATGACAGGGTGATAAAATCTACTTCGTTGCAATTCGATATTCTGCATTATTATGCTGTTTACATACGAATCGTGTCAATTTCATGTAACGTTCCTTTTTCCCGCTGACACTGTGAAGCGCGCCTTTTCCAGCCTTGCTATTGTTATTGTCCGTCCGGGTTAATCGCTGAGCGCCTAACTAATGCTCTCGTGCAGCATGGTTTCCTCTGGCTCAGCCAGTCAAGAAGTTTCACTTCGTTTCCTCTGCCTTAATAATCATTACGGCAGTGCCCTGCAATAAATATCTCTGATTTTATTACAAGGCTTTTATACGAACTGTATGAAATATATTATCTATGCAAAACATTTTTATTGCAGCGGCATGTTCCACCGACGTGTACCTGGTCGACAATAATTTCGCGAAGTCGCCACCGTATGCTTGCCGTGGCAACAGTGGGCAGAAACCTCAGTAAGGTTTTATGACATTGGCATGTCAGCGTTTCACAGCTGTGTTGTTGTTGATCTATGGCAGTCTCTTTCTGAGTGGCGTCTATTAATGTCTGAGTGTCTTTTGCTGTGCCGTCGCGAGAATGTAGGAGGGAACATGAAATTTCCTGTTAAACTTAGCAAGAGTGGAAGCGAAACCAGAGAGATATTAGTGCAAGTTTACGGGGATAATGCTATGGAGAAAACAAAAGATTAAAAGTGGGTGACACTTTTTCACTTTTTTGGAGGGAAGAGAAAATATCACTGACGAAAAGAGATCAGGACAACCAGCAACGAGCAAAACTGAAGAAAACATTGCAAAAGTTTGTCAAATTCTACGTGATAATAGTCGGCTATCAGGAGCATAGTAGAGCAAGTGGACATCGACAGAGAAACAGGAAAATCTTAACTGAAGATCTTGATATGAGGAAGATGAGTGCAAAAATGGTCCCAAACGAGCTCACCAAAGGACACTGTCTGTGAGAGAGCTTTTAGCTAGTAAACAAATAACTGCGCAGGAACACCCTCCCTATTCACCGGAACTAGTCCCCAGTGATTGTCTTCCGTTCCCGAAGATAAAGGAAATATTGATAGGAAGGTATTTTGATGACACTGATGACATCAGGAGGTATATGACGGCAGCTCTGAGGGCTATTCCACAAAACTAGTTCCGAAATTGTTTTGAAGGGTGGGCTAGGCGCTGGTATTGGCGCAAAGCTTCCAAAGTGAGTACTTTGAAGGCGACCACAGTGACATTCACCAATGACGTATGTAGCACTTCTAACGCGATGAGTTCGCGAACTTTATTGTCAGACCACGTATTTGTTTGCTGCAGAGTAACCTCGGGGTGGTCATAGGAAATATCGTTTTTTTTCCCTAAAAATATTAGTAAGGAAATTGTATACTAAGGAGATCAACAATTATTACTCTTCAACGGCGATGCAATAAGTAAATACGAGTATATTATGGTTAAGGAAGAAACTGTGCTACAGGGCATGATTGATAGACTAATTGAAATTGGAAGGTGCTATGGCATGGAAATGAATGTGGAGAAAACAAAAGTACTGAAAATTTCGAGACAACCGACCCCAGTCACAATAAAGATAGACTAAAAACAACTGGAGAATGTGAAATGTTTTAAACATTTGGGAAGCTTGTTAACAGATGATGGAAGGTGTACTAGTGAAATTAAATCCAGGATTGCCATGGCAAAAGCTGCATTTAGCAAGAAGAAAAATCTTTTTACGAGCAAATTGGACTTAAATTTGAGGAAGAAACTAGGGAAATGCTATTTCTGGAGCATAGCTCTGTATGGGGCTGAAACATGGACATTTAGGGCAGTAGATCAGAAACATCTGGAAAGTTTCGAACTGTAGTGTTGGAGAAGGATGGAGAAGATCATTTGGACCGATTATGTGAGAAATGAAGAAGTGTTAATTAGAGTCAGTGAGCAGAGGAATATCCTACACGAAATAAGAAAACGGAAGGCTAATTGGATTGGTCATGTTTTACGCANTATGGTCACATCCTGCAGCACACATGTGAGAAGTAAGAAATGGTGACAGAATTCTAACCAAGGACCTGAATATAACTGTAGATGGGACTTTAAATAAATATGTTATTATAGTTTAAATTCAATTACCCTGATATATGAGGACGTTCAGCAGCGGAACCTTGTGAACATGGTAATGAAACTGTCGTCTTCATAGAAAATGAGAAAATTTCTTCGAATTGCCACGATTTTATAGTGACCATAGACGGGGTTCGCTTTGGTAGTCGGATTTAATGCACACTTACACAACTCGTTACTACATTACACAAGTCACTATAGAACACGTTAAGTCTTCTCAGTCTGTTACAGTCTTCACTAGCCGTTATTTAGTGGCGGCTTCCAACGGCGGACGACCCCCTTCCTCTGTCTTTCCCAACTGCCCCCGCTCTCAGGTACCAGCTTCTCACAGCAAGAGATCACGACAACTGAATCCCATCAATTTTCTAGATAACTCACTAACTCACTAACAAGCTCCGCAGTAACTAACTTCTAACTTATCCTGCTTGTATCATCTGACAAGGACCTCACAGAAAACACCTTCCTCTTTTGTTGTTTAAGGGTAGCTGCCTATTAACGGCCGTTGTATAGTTGCTTATTTCGTGGCAGTTGCCTAGCAACAGGTCTACATGCCACAGTATTAACAAAAGGTTTTGAAGCACGTGTGTTCTAAATACTACATATTTCCAAGAATACAATATATTAGTATGCCAAAAACAATCTTTAATTACAAGACGAACGCTGTCTTGAGACCTTTCACACATCGTGTTGATCAGACCTGCTTTCTGAAATTATAAGTCTAGGAGAACTTCTACGAAAGCACACCGCGTTATTCCCACTGCTAAAATTAAAATTATTTAAATAATGACTCTGCAACGGTAGGACAAATTATAAGATAGAAGTGTTCCACATTGACCGAGGTGGATTGTCGTAACTGGAGCAATAACACAGCAAAAATATATATTTGCAAACTGCACTGAACTGTGAATATTGTCTGACCTAAGTCGATGGACCAAATTCCTCGCCTTCCAAAGAAGAGGATGACTCCCACGCTCTTCAGCTGGCTCAGCAAACTGCGCGCTGTCTGAGAACTGAGGTGAGTCGAGCGGTCGGGGTCTTAGAACAGTTCGCCAAACCTTGCAGTTATCGTCAGCAAAATTAATAAATTTCGGAAGTGTTTCTGACAGCTACTACATAGGCCTTGCTTTAAGCATTACGTCGGACCTGAACGTTGGTACATTAATACAAATATTATATTTCTGGACATTGTCCGTCTTCCTGTTTTTATCTAAAACATCGTCCAGTTTTTATTTAAAAACTCTTATTCAGTTGGGCCTGAAGGCGAAGACAGTGGACACGTGGTCTAAGGCATGAACTGTCCTCTCTCTCGAGCCCTGGGATCGTGGGTTCGAAAAAATTTAAGACATGGATATCTGTGTGCTTTATTTTGTCTTTGTGTTGTTCTGTGTGTAGATAGTTGCCTTGCGATCGGCTGATCCCCCGTCTAAGGAGTCCTACCGACTGCGTAAAGGATTAAGAAGTGAGAAAGACGCCGAAGTCCAATAGAAAGAATATAGAGCCGTAGATAGGTAGAGAGACAGTAATTGTCTTAATGTAATTGCCAGTGTCTACACGGTGTTCTTTCTACAATTGACCTCGCACTGTTGACGCGGCCATAAATAATCAATAATTGAATTGTATTGAATTATTATTGTTATTATTATTGCTATTGTTATTGTTATTAATTTATTGTTATGTTATAGACTGTCATATTTTGTATTTTTCTCTGTAATTATTTTTGTGTATTTCTGTGTACTCATGCTAACTTTGTAATTACCACTGTGCAGTTAAGTTTGCATGTAAATAAACACGAATTAAATTGAATTGAATTATTATTACGCTGTTTTACTAACCATGGTTTTTCCAATCTTTAAAGTATTCCGCCTGCCGACGTACAGCTGCCACGCCTCTTACTCGAGCTTGAGTTCTTTATCCCAGGGATACGGGTGCTTCAGATATGGGAGTGGAACACACTTCGGGGTTCATGAATCCGGGGCTCCAGAACACAACGTGTATTGCAATCTTAATTTAAAATTTCATACAGTAATGAATCTAGCCGCTCAGTCACACTTAACCTTTGTACACCAATTTGCCCCCAGCTCGCTGACCTTACACGCCACCCTTAGCTACCCTCCTGTAACTCCCTTTTCAACCGTCCTCCTCTGCTCCCTGTAAACAACTGCCCTCTCTGTACAAGCCCCCCAGTGGGCATAAAGAACCAGAAAATAAAAAGAGAAAGCCAAGGGTTGAGCCCGACATCTGTCCTATATTCGTATTTTTCGAGATGCCCATAAAACTTTATAGATCTTCAAGGCATACGAGCAGGGAACCCAAGACCCCTCCTGGCCGGTCTCGCACAAGGTCACTTTAGGCGACGTTAGGGACAATAGTGACACCCTAAGCCTAAGGTG